ATTCCCATGATTCCCTAGCACTGAGCCAGGACAGTTAAAGTGGGCTCACTTTGCACTATTTCTAGCAGTCTGTAAAGGCCCTAAATATCAAAGGCTCTACAAGATCTGTCTACATACTGACCCATGTAGATGGAGAAAATGATGGCTATATTTTTATGAAACATAAATAGCAGAGCACCTTTTGAATTTGTCTGTTTATTTGTTTACACAGTGTCTTCCTAATGTTTTTTTCCCATTTGTTTTGCTTTATTCTGGAAGATACAGTTCTTCAGCAAAGATATAGCCACACACAAATAGATATTGTTATCACCTTCTTGATTTTTCAATATTTTTATTCAGAATTACTTAAGTGGCTTCATTTTTAGTTGAAGAAAATATTAGTACATATGTTTTAAATATGGATGCCATTGTGTTATATCAAAATCTATTGTTGGGGGGTGGAACTTGGTAGTTCTTTATACAAACTGAGGTCTGTGACTCTTGCATTCATTATTTTTTAAATGGATTTCCCTGGTTGTATAATTAGGGGTATAATATATATATGTAAGATACATATTACTTGTGTATTACTTTTCTTTAGAGAATCATGATGCGATGTTGAGTGCCGGAAATGAGAAATTGATACAGATTGTGGAAGATGGCAATAAACTTTTTGGTGGAGGTAATAAGAACCTGGCCTGTTAATAACAGCCTATTGGATACTGATATTCTGTATTTCTTAAAAGTAGAACATTGATTGCCTGGACAAAGTAGGGATAATTCTTTTCTTCCTTCCAGCCTTCACATTTTCAGGGATGAGGCATTTGAAATTCATTTTCTCTTTTCTGAAACACAGTTGTAGCCTTTCATTTGCTGTCCCCCCCCATTTGTTTCTTTCAGTAGAGATATCACAAATACACATATGGCTTAGCTGTACTAGCAAACAGGATGCCTCTGGAATAATTTCCTCTGCCTCTGACAGCTATTAAGTCAGAAACTTTAAGCTGTGAAACAGCAGGATCTCAAAGTTCATGGCATGGTAGCTCATGTTGCAATCATCCTTTGCTCTCTGGTTTATATATGTCATTATTGTATACCACTTGTACATATTCAGCGCTCAAGCCAATTTCCAGCAGAACAAACAAAATATGCAAAACTGAACACTGAAAACAAACCACAAGATCGTTTCATAGACCAATAGCTCATATGATATACATGTATATATTTTTTAAAAGTAGCAGTCATTGAACCATTAAAATGGAAACTCCTCCCCAAAATAGTTATGTTATTGACAAGTTTTGTAGAAGACTCATTAGCAGCAGCCTTTGTAGCTGGAGTCAGTCAGGGTCTTCCCAGAACAGTTGGACATGGCTAGAGATTGGAAAGAACCAGATATTATTAGAGGCACAGACAGATTCTTGTAGGCAGCTTCTGCAGCAACCTGGGCTTAGTCAACTCAGGCTTCTGCCATCATCAAAACTATTTTTTCTTCATAATATAGAGAGCCAGACTCTTGGAAGCTCCTTGAAATGGAGATTATCCTTTAAAGCAAGCTGTGGGGCTTTGAGGAGAGAAATTTATCATTTTTTAAAAGTGTTAAATAGAATTTACTCATACACACACACACACAGTAGTCCCTTGCTATCCGCAGGAGATCCGTTCTGGACCTTAAGTCCTATTCTTTTCAGTGGGCACGTAAGCTCACTTGCCAATTGAAAAATCTGGGGCTTGCTGTCAATGGAAACTCAAACATTTGATGGCAAGCCCACGGTTGGCGTGGGTGTACTCGTGTGTGTGTGTGTGTGTGTGTGTGTATTTATTTATTTATTTATAGTGGGCCCTCAGTGGGCTTCAGATCTGCTAAAATGAGCATCCGCATATCCCCATTCCCCATATTATTCATTGGTGGTGCTGTGAATGCGTATGCCATTAAATAATATGTCACTGCCATTGAATAATGTGGAGTGTGATTGTCTAATAGTTCCTATTTAGAAATATCCAGGTGATGGAACATAATGTCAGAGAACTTCAACACCTGTTATGCAACATGTGCAAGTCCTTTTAAAATGTGTGTGTTTAGGATGTTGATAATAATGTCTTTTTAGAGGTGTTCACCTAGGGCATACCTGCACAACTTAGCAGTATGCAGGGACCAAAATTAAAATAGTTTGACTTCTTCAGGCTGCAGATGGGGAGGATTGGGTGGAAGTGCCCTCAGAATCCCATGCCGCAGCCACCTCGCAGGACTGGAAAGGCATCGCGGGGGTGAGGTGGTGCCCTCCTATTCCGAGGGACTCAGAGGGCATGGCGTGATGGTGAGGTGGTGCCTCCTTAGTCTGGACTTGGAGGGCATTGGGGTGTGTGTAAGGAGGTGCCCTCCCAGTCTGGACTTCAGGGAACTCAGAGGGCATAGGAGTGCCACAGTCTGGCTGGGTGAGGGGGAGGGCAAGGCAGTTCCCCGCATGGGTTGACACCCATTGCTCTACAGCCCAGCCTTGTCTTAAGAACACAGCTGGGCTGTGAAGGAGGGAGAATGGATGAACACCTCCTCCATAGCCCAGCTGTCTTCTTGGGAGAAGGCTGAGTGGGAGAGGAGGCTTGAGGATGAGTCTGAGGCCATGGGCAAATAGCTTGGCAGGCTGCTTATGGCATGTGAGCCATATGTTGTGTCTGTCTGACCTAGGGTAATACAATTTCCACTTATAGTAGATTTCCTTGAGCGCCTGAGTGAATCATAGATACTTAAGGATATAAAACCTTGGGTTCCTGGGAGCAACAAACACTTTAAGAACTATGTAGTAATGACAATTTAAACATTCTTGTCTTTCAGTTGCTATTGATGTTAGCAAACTA